TCTTGTGCGTATTTCTTATCTGTGGAAGTCTGGGTTGCTGTCAAAGTCTTGTCGGTGTGTTAATTTACTGTGAATAAATTGTCTAGCAGTAATCTTGTGTCGGCGTGCCTTACCGTACGGAGGGGGGTCAGAACAAATACCTATAATTACCTAGAGCAGGGGTGTCAAATTCAAGGCCTGTGGGCCAAATCTAGCCCACGGGCTGCTTAGGTCTAGCCCATGGGCCCCACCTGGAAATAGCAAAGGACTGGCCTATGATGCCTCTGCTAGCAAAAGGTTTGGCTGCCAGAGTGCTGCAGGAAGCCATCCTTGCCACAGGAGGTTATAAAAGGGAGGAAAGGTAAAATAATTTACCTTTCAGGGTTGCAGGATTCTGCTACTCTAGTGTACGTCAATAATTTATAGTTCTAGTCTTCCTCTGATCTCTCTCTCTCATAAGGTGATCAATTAAATCAAGTAAGTATTAAAAAAAACAAAATCACAGAAATGCACGCCTCTCTATTTTTATAAGTGCATGAAACTATGTGTGTGGAGCTATGGTCCTGTGTCACGCCCACCATGGCCACGGCCAGCCCTGGCTTTCCAAGGTCAAACACAACCCTGATGCGGCCCTCCATGAAACTGAGTTTGACACCCCTGACCTAGAATCATAAATAAAGAATTTAGATAATTTATCAAAAGTGTAATATTCCAAATATAACATGCCAAATTCTTAAGGCACTAGGCATGTGACTGGTTGCAAGCCCAACCTAAAGTAGCTATTCCACACAACCATTACTCCACAGAATTATCGATACTACACGGATAGAGAACTTGTAGCCTTCCAGTAGGTCTAGAACAATGCCCAATGAATACATAAAAAATTCACAAAGAGTTTATTGTCCTATAACATCTGCGGGATTATAGATTCTCCATTTATGAGGCTCAGGAACCAAACCCAAATGCAAGTTGTGCTCACGCAACTATTGTGGTAGAACTTCTGCGTGAGCTAAAGTTAACCAGAACATAAATAACCACAGAGCACTGCATTTTCCAATGTAATACAGGCCATCTTTTTTTTTTAGCAGCACCACTTTGTGGACCACACAATACAAACACATGTTCTGTGTTTCACAGTCTCTATACAAAATTGATCAATCAACTGAATTGAAAATAAATGGGAAAAACACATATACTGGAAATGGCAATGCTCAAAACAAGTGAAGAAACATTCCACTCTCCAAGCAACACTGATTTAATATTCCAGGGGTGCCAATCTTAGAACCCTGGAACTTCAGAGACAAAGTAAACCATATTCATCACTAGTTTCAACCATAGCAATAGCAATAGTTAGACTTATATACCGCTTCATAGGGCTTTCAGCCCTCTCTAAGCGGTTTACAGAGTCAGCATATCGCCCCCANGGGGGAGGGGGGGGGGCGGGGAGGGGGCAGCAGGATGGCATGTGTCCAGCACACTTCCACAAGGGCATCGTCATCTGTTGTGTTTCCAGTCTACAGCGGAAGCTTACAGAAGAGCTTGCAAAGCAGAGTCAGCAGACGGGAGGCCAGAAACGGTGGATCGCTTGGCGCATGCTTGGGTCAATGACGGTACAGACTTAAAAATATGGCAGCTCACTGAAATGGTCACAGAAAGAAATGGCCCTGAAATCTTGGTGAAAGCAGAAGGCAAGCAAACATGGCACCCACTCACAAGCTTTTCTAGCAAAAAAAAAATCTGGTTCGGTAAGTTAAGT